CTTTTTATTGGTGTATTAATATAAAATTAAGCTATTTGTATATATCCCTTTGTAACTAATGTATTTGTTGAAATATTAAATTTTTAATACTTTTTGAGTTAATTCTCACAGTCTTCTCAAATATGCCATCGAATATGATAATGTTTATCTCTACCTGATGGTAATTTTTCTTTGTGGATTATAATCATACTTTCATTTCCTGCCCTCTTGCATAGGACAATAGTACAGCAGTAATGTTATGTTTTAGGGTAAGAGTAGGCACTATTTATTTTCGTGCTATTAGAGTTTCAGCTTTTAATAGATTTACTATTTATTTAAAGATTTTTTACAATGTTTTTTAATTTCAGAATATTATGGGAGTACAAAAGTTTTAGTTGCATAGTTTGCTTTTATAAACTTCTAGTTAAGTCAAAGATAGAAGTGTCTACTTCTCCCAGAAAGTATGCATTGTACCCATTAGGTGTAAATTTACCCATCCCGCCTCCCGTCTTTCTCCTGCTTAATTTCCAGTGAGATTTTACTTCCATATGTGCACATAGGTGTTGAGCAATTAGTTTGGGATTGAGCACATGTAGTGTTTGTTTTCCATTCTTGCACGACTGTGCTCAGAAGGATGTTCTCCAGATCCATATGAAGTTGTTGTAAAGACACTAGATCACTATTTTTTGTAATGGCTGAGTAGTGCTCTATGGTGTACATATGCCACATTTTATTATATACTGGTGGGCACTGGGTTGCTTCAACATCTTTGTGCTCCTGGCTAGATTGTGCTACTATAGACATTCAAGTGCAAGGGTCCTTGTGATAGAGTATTTTTTTCCTTTGGGTAAATACTCAATAATGCAATTTTTGGGTCAAATGGTACGTCTACTTTAAATTCTTTGAGGAATCTCTATACTGCGTTCCATAGAGGTTGTACTAGCTGACTGTCCCACCAGCAGCGTGTAAGAGTTCCTTTCTCTCTGCATCCACCAGCATCTGTTGTTTTAGGACTTTTTGATAGGTGCCATTCTCATTGGAGTTAGGTGGTATCTCATTATGGTTTTGATTTGTATTTCCCTGATAATTAGAGATGGTGAGCATGTTTTTATATTTTTATTGGCCATTAGTCTATCTTCTTTAGAAGAGCTTTTGTTCATGTCATTTGCCCACTTTTTAATGGAGTTACTTGATTTTTTCTTGCTAATTTGCTTGAGTTGTTTTTAGATTCTGGCAATTAGCCCTTCATCAATGGATGGCATGTGGATATTTCCTCCCATTCTGTAGGTTGCTCTATTAGTTGTTTCCTTGGCTATGCAGAGGCTTGTTAATTTAATCATGTCTCATTTGTTTATTTTAGTTGTCCTTTAGGGTCTTCATAAGTTCTTTGCCCAGGCTGATATCTGTAAGAATGTTTCCTGCCTCTTCTTCTAGAATTCTTCTGTCTCATGCCTCTGTTATCCATTGTGAATTAATTTTTGTGAGTGGTGACTGGTGTAGTTCTAGTTTCAGTCTTCTACATGTGGCTATCCAGTTTTCCCAGCACAATTTATTGAAGGGAAATTCTTTCCCCTAATGTATACTTCTATTTTCTTTGTCAAAGATCAGATGGCAATATGAAGCCTGACAATTAAGTTCATGAACTTACTACTATGTCCTTACATTGGCAGCACTGTACAATTAACTTGATAAGGTTTCATAACCATGGTACATTAGAGCCTCATAGCTATGTTCATGTCAACCAGTGGTGGTGTCTTGCTGCGTGCTGTTCATTATTGTTGTTGCATGATTTTTGTCTGCCATCACAAGAATATCAGAACTTGAATTAGAACAACAAACATTAAATTTCTTATTAAACTCGGCAAGAGTAGAAGGGAAATAAGAGATTTATAGTCCAAGTTTATGGAGATAATGCCATGAAGAAAACGGCAATGTGCAAATGAATTAAAAGTTTTTCTGAGAGGAGAGAAAGCATCACAGATGAAGAGAGGTCGGGGTGGCCAATAACAAGCAGAACTAAGGAAAACATTGCAAAAATTCATCAACATGTGTATCAAAATCATCAGCTGACAGTGAGAATAGCAGACCAAGTAAACATCAAAAGAGAAACAGTTAGGAAAATCTCAACTGAAAATCTTGACATGAGAAAGGTGTGTGCAAAAATGGTCATGAAGAAGCTCATAGATGAACAAAAACAAAGGAGAGTTGAAGTTTGCCAAGACCTTTTGGAGAGGCAAGATGATGTTTTGGGCCATATTATCACTGGCAATGAAATGGGTGTATCAATACAATCCTGAAACAAAGTGTCACCATGCACAGTGGAAGTCAGCCAATCCTCCACTACCAAAAATGTTCCCTCAGTCCAAATCAAGAGTTAAAACAATGTTACTTACCTTTTCTGATACCAGAGGAATTGTTCATTATGGATCTGTACCAAATGGACAAACAGTTGACCAAGTTTACTATTTGGAAACCCTAAGAAGTCTACATGAAAAAGACAAACACTACCTGAACTTTTTGTCAACAACTCACGGCTCCTGCATCACAACAATGAACCAGCTCACACAGCACTGTCTGTGAGGGAGAGTTTAGTCAATAAACACATAACTGTATTGGAACACCTCCCCCTACTCACCTGACCTGGCCCCCAGTGACTTTTTCCTTTACCCAAAGATAAAGGAAACATTGATAGGAAGACATTCTGCTGACATTTCGAACATCAAAGGTAATAGGACGATACCTCTGATGGTCATTCAAGAAAAATAGTTCCAAAATTGTTTTGAAGGGTGGATGAGATGCTGGCATCTGTGCATAGTTGCCCATGGGGAGTACTTCAAAAATGACGGTAGTAATATTCAGCAATGAAGTATGTACCATTTTTTCTAGAGTGAGTTTGCAAACTTGATTGTCAGACCTCATATGAAGATGGTTTCATATCTGGGTTCTCTGTTTAGACTCATAGGTCTGTCTATTTTTGTGCCAATACCATGCTGTTTTGGTTACTATAGCCTCATAGTATAGCTTGAAGTCTGGTAAACTGGTGCCTCCTGCTTTGTTCTTCTTGGGTAAAGTGGCTATTTGACATTTTTTCTGGTCCCATTTGAAGAGTAGAATTATTCTGTCCAGATCTGCAAAAAAATGTTGTTGCTATATGATGGGGATTGTATTAAATCTGTAAATCACTCTGGGTAGGATAGACATTTTAACTATGTTATTTTTCTAATCTATGAGTATGGTATGTTTTTAAACTTGTTACTTCCTCTGCAATTTTCTTCCTCGGTGTATCATAGTTCTCTCTGCAGTGGTCTTTCATCTCCTTGGTTAAATATATTTCTCAGTATTTTATTTTCTTTTTTTGCAATTGTGAAAGTTATTGAGTCTTTGATTTGGTTCTCATCTTGACTATTGCTGGTATGTGTGAATGCTACAGATTTGTGTGCATTAATTTTGTAACCTGAGACTCTGCTGAATTCATTTATCCATTCCAGGAATCTCTTAGAATCTTTGGTGTTTTCTAGGTATAAGGTCCCATCATCAGCAAAGAGCAGTAGTTTAGCCTCTTCTTTTGCTGACAATATTTGAAGATTTTGTTTTTCTTCCTGGTTTACCAGGAGATAGATAATATGTAGATAGCTGTTTTTGATCTTGTCAAATGTATTTCTGACATCTGTTGAAAGATCATTTAAAATGTTTATAAAGCCTCATTTGTGAGATGTATTATCCTAATAACCTTTCTAATACTGAAACAATGTTACTTTTCCTTAATTGGGCTATGCTATCATTTTAATATAAACCAAATAACATTTGGATTTATTTATTAGTTCTGTCTATTTTTTGAAGTCATTAAGTTCTATTTTTATATTTAATAATATTCTAAATAAACTTCATTAAGATGTTGAGGACTTTTTTAAAGTAAATTTGGGACTTAGGATATGAGTGATTACTGAGGGGAAAAAATGATTACCAAGAGATACTATAAATGATCCAGGATAAGGTTATACTCCTAAATGTTAACAGAGTTATTTTGTTCCTCATTGCAATGCCCACCAGGGAAATTCCTTCTAAGTCCAACTGCAAGATATCCATAGGCCACGCTTAACAACAAATTAACTCAGAAGTACATGGGACAGAAAATGTAGCTTGTTATCAGGGCAACATTGGTAATTTGCCTTTAATGTGAGTTGTTCTTGCAGCATTCATTTAAAATGTGGGTCATGTTGAAGGAAATAAGACCTATAATGGGTGAAGGCAATGCCTGCCTGGCTTCCAGCCTGGTAACCCTAAGGAGTCAATAGCTCTTATAACAAAACCAAAAGCATGACTTTCAGGGTCTTCGGAAGGAATGGGGCAAAAAGCAAGAATCACTAAACTTAGAAAAACTCAAAGACATGGCTTCCTTTCATGTGTTTTGTTGTTGTTGTTGTTGTTGTTGTTGTTCCAGTCCAAATGACATCACTACTCAGGGATCATTTTCCCACAAGCAGTGTTGCCTAGAAATGTAATTAACATTCCATTTTTCTTCATGTTTCCAGAAGAACAGAGCTATAGATAAACCAAAATGTAAATTCTCATTCAAAATAGGAGTTTACCTAGAAATATACAGTTAGCTCTATATCTGCAGGTTCTGCATCCATGGACTAATCATGGTTCAAAAATATTTCAAAAAGAATAAAAAATAATACAAAAATAAAAAGTAATGCAAATAAGAAACAATATTGTATAACAACTGTTTATGTACCATTTATATTGTATTAGGCATTATAAGTAATCCAGAGATGATTTAAGTATACTGGAGAATGTGTGTAGGTTATTTACAAATCTACACCATCGTATATAAAGGATTTGAACTTCCCTGGATTTTGGTATAAGTGGGAATTCTGGAACCAAACCTGCATAGATGCCAAGGAAAGACTATATGTTCTGTTATTTTTTTGCACAATTAAATATATGCCAATGTAATGTTTCTTATGTTTAAAATTAACCTGAAATCCTTCCTTTTCTTGTTCCTCACATTTTCACAGGTAAAATATGGAAATTATGCTTTTGTATGGGATGCAGCTGTTTTGGAATATGTGGCTATCAATGATCCAGATTGTTCCTTTTACACCATTGGGAACACTGTTGCCGATCGAGGATATGGAATTGCATTGCAACACGGCAGTCCTTACAGAGATGTTTTTTCACAAAGGTAAGATTTTTGTAAGCCCCAAATAAGGAGAGAAAATTTAGTCAAAGAAAATCTACTTGGTTACCTAATTTGGTTTATTGCATTTTGTTTACCTTGTTAGGGGAAGTATAATTAAACATAAAAAGGAAGTTTTGACTGGGTTGTTCAATAAGACATCCTTTTCAAAAACATGGACTGAAGTATAAGGTATCCCATAAATACAGGGGAAATACTGGTACATGTAACTGGATTTGCTCTCAAAACAAATTGTGACATGAGAAAACATTTTGACATGTAAAACAAGGTAGGTATGGTAGTTATTTCTAATAGAACTAAATAAACTGGCGTAGTGTGAATTTCTGGGGACTAAATATCATACAGTTTTTTTATGTTTATTTATTTATTCATTTTTGAGACAGAGTCTCACTTTGTTGCCTTGGGTAGAGTGCTGTGGCGTCACAGCTCACAGCAACCTCAAACTCTTGGGCTTAAGCAATTCCCTTGCCTCAGCCTCCCAAGCAGCTGGGATTACAGGTACCTGCCACAATGCCTGGCTATTTTTGTCGGTGTTGTTGTTGCAGTTGTCATTGTTGTTTTGGCTGGGGCCGGATTGGGGCCATGTTGCAGCTGGGTTCGAACCTGCCACCCTCGGTGTACGTGGCCAGCACCCTACCCACTGAGCCACAGGCACCACCCTGAATGTCATACAGTTAGGGAAATTAATTCATTTCTAAGAACGTTAAAGCATAAAATAAACTTCATTACCAAGCTAAAGTTCTGAGGTCCTGAAGCACACAATAATAGGAACGTTTGCATCTGAATTTTGCAAAGGAAAGAGCCAAGAATTTTAGCAGCTTCCACATGGTATCAAAGTACATATGACATTTAATCTTGGAAATCAAAGAGACAGCTTAGTAAGACATTGTACTCATTCCCAAATAAGAAATGCCTATAATAAGGGAGCTGTTTAAGAAAGAAGGTTTTAAAATGCATATTTTAGATTAGTAGTGTATACAAAAGACTTGGGCCTGAAAGGAATTCACGAAGATGACTGCATTTTGTTCTCACTACTGCCAAACATGCTTGGACCTAAGTTAAATTATTATCTCCAGGTGGAAGCATATTCTTCTTGATACTGATACTGTCTTCTAGATTTTTTTCTACCTATCCTCTAAAAGCTAACCACAGACCAAGGGGACAGTTCCAGATGGTACTAAGGCCCCAGGTTTCAAACTATTTTAATTGTATTTCTCCAAATTTCAGACAAAAGTCAGACATTTTGTGTTAAAAAAAAAAAAAAACAGACTACAAATCGGTCATCCACAGTTACTGCCCTAACTCTTCCATTAACTAACCATAAAAATCTAGACTTCTCTTGTTATCTGCAAAATAAGAGAGAGAGATTAATTCTAAGGTTCCATATTAGTCAGCTTTTCTGCTTAGCAAACAAGTCTAAGGTATCCATGACTTAAAATAAGTTATTTCTCATTCTTGAACGTGAGAGCTGGCTGTGATTGGCTATGTTCTGTGATAAGCTGTGGGTCACCTGCGGGAAGGCCGTGTTCAGCTTCGCATTCCGGGGCTCAGGCTGAAGAAGCAGCTCTGTCTGGGATGTGCCGTTGTCATTACAAAGAGCAGTTGCTAACGGGGCTGGCAGAAACTCACAAGGCCTCCTGTGCTTCTTGCTTGCATGAAGCATATATTCCATCTGTCCACGGACCGCTAAACAAAGCCAGCCTCGTTGCCAAGCCCAAAATCAATGGGGTAGATAAATGCACTCCATGTAAAGGGAAGGAAGGAAGTAATTATAAATAATCACGGCCCCTACCAGTGTACCTTCTGGCTCTCCACAAATTCTAAGTAGAAGATGAAAGTAAAACACACATGCATAAACTGGGAAGCAAAATATTAAAGTATAAATAATGACCAATCCATCACAACACATTTATTGATGACTGGATTCTCAGGGGAACACACTTCAAAACTCAATTGTACCATAGAGAATCCACCTGCAGTGCTCTTGCTGTGTGTTGGCGTTGCAGAGCCCGTGCACACGAAACAGTGAACCATGCAGACATCTGTATAGACGCATGCTGGCATGTACATATATAAATGCATAGAATATCAGCATCGCTTAATTCTGTTGCATCATACTGTGTAGTTGAGATATCAAAAAAAAATTAACAGCATACAGAATAAAGAGCTAAGGAAAGGAAACGTAAGTGAAAGCTCTCCAGAAAATGTTAGTCTTTGACCTTGAAAGATTAATAGAGAATGGGTAAACTGGACAAAAAAAAGATAATTCTTACAGAAATAACAAAGACCGCAGCATAGAAGTAAAAGAGAGCAGACTATGTTGAGAAACAATAAGGATGTTCAGCTAATTGGAAAGGACATTGAAAGTTCAGAATTCATCTCGTCAGCCACAGCCCCTTGTAAAAGCCTGCTGTCTGTTGGGAGCCCTGGCGTAAAATGATGAAAATGGCATTTAAGGCAAGGTTAGTCTAGTTTGGAGATGAAGGATGAATTAGAATTGGCAAAGACTAGCGCAAACCTGGAGGTGTGAGATAACGATGGCCAGGCCCAGAAGTGCGCAAGAGGAAATGAGGAAGAAGGAGCCGAGAGAAGAGGCGACTCTAAGGGGAGATGCACACCACTGCTTTTAATTTAGATGCAGGGATGCGCGAGCTTAATAGAGTGGAGGGGGACGCAGAGCTTCATGGTGAAGGACCGGCAGAAACATTTAATGAAGCTTAACATTACCCAGGTCGTAGGGAAAAGAATATTGATTATTTCTTAGTTATGGTTAATTGGCTTTTTCATTACTAAAGATGTTCTTTGTTTCCAGAGTTGATTTCTGAATCTTTTACACCAAAAAATGCATGAATTTAATAGCAATTAAAGAAATGTTTTCCAAATCACACCAAGTGTTCCATTTCTTATTATCCCTGTGGTGCTTTGCTTATCAGACATTTGAATTCTGAGAAAACATACTCTACTGAACTACTGAAACGTTGTATTAAGCCTCGAGCATGTCTTCTGTTTGTTTGATGTGCATTATAGATGTTAGCAGGGTTCACTGTCCCTGTCTATGGATTCCTTAAGGACGCCCTGCATCCTGGTTCCCCAGACACCTGCAGGAGGGAGGGCCAGGAAAGAAGTGTGATGGGGCAATAGGCGATGTGCCAACTCATCTCTTTATACACAGTTGCCAGTCCCTCCTTAAATTCAGAAAATATTGGCACTCGTTCCTTTTTGCTATAGCCATTTGGAAAAACAGATCTTCTCTTTTTTGTTAACTGATTTTAAAAATTATAAAGATCATCAAATGTAGCCACTGTAGTTCACTTTGGGGATTATTATATCTGGCTTTGATACATCAACATCCCGGACCAGTGATGACACTAAATCAGTGATTGCTATTGTGATTGTTTTCAATAAAAATGATAGTATTCTGGGTGATTAATAATTCGATATTAATTATTTTTCAGGTGACTATATGCCTATAACACAAAGTGCTTTATATCAAAGTACTTTACTATATAATAAGTACTAATATATAAAATAAATAATATACTGATACAGCAACTGCTGTATTATCTGCTAAGTGCTAGACATCTTAGATTCTCATGTATTTCAGTGACACTTCAGACCAATCATGGGGGATGGTGCACATTTGTTTACTTTAGCTTTGCATATTAGTGCATGACTACTATGCTACAGGTGCATATGCTGAATGACTAAGCCCACGCTTTGGCAGGCATCCTGCCATTCAGCATAGGAGATGGAAGGACATACTCATTTGTACAAATGTACGTGAGTGGATGTACACAGGAATGACTTTTAAGAACCATTAAGTGCTGTAATATATATGATCGTAGGACTGCTACAAGAGTTTTGTGTCCTTGGTCTGCACAAAAAGTAGGTAACTTAACAGCAGAAATTAACATCTTTATTTTTCTCATCAGATACACGGACATTGTTGTGTTGGGTGATGGCAATGAATTTTCTATGTAATGCTATTTGCTCATCAAATGTTTTACACGGTCCTTCTAGCAGTCCTTTTATTTAAAAAAGTATAGTCAAATGTTGTTTCATTAAAGACATTTAAGAGTGGAAGAAAACAGAATTTTCGCATTGATTTCATTGTGCTATGAATAAAATTCACTTCAGTGCTGACCTCGGAATCTTAGCTATTCAGAAGCTTAAGAAAATTTATTGGGTATTTAGTGTAAACTCACTCTGCTCTCAAATAGTAATGGATATCAGGAAAAATTAAATCATGAATTTGATATTATAGCTCACCAATAAAGGAGTCACTTTTTTCTATTGGCTTTTTGTCCCTAAATTTTAGATATGGAACTCCTAAGGAGCACGAAAAAAATGACATGTTTCAAGTTAGATGGAGAATAATTGTCTTAGATTTACAATAGTGACACAGGTATATAAATGATGTCTCCAGCCAGCCATAGAATTTCAGTATTTTTAGAAATGGAGTTAATAGTTGTTCTTCCCTTTTTACCAGGGATAAAAAAACAGTCCAAAAGAGTTAATGACTTGCTCAGAAACACAAGAAAGCTGTAACACTGGAAAAAATTCATACTTTCCAGTTCCATGTGTGGTTTTCTGGCCATTATGCCTTCTCTCTTCCCATTCATATCTTTTTGAAGACACACTGTGAAACTTATACTTCATACTTATACTCATACTTCCTATGAACTAGACTCTGAATTCTTACCTGTAGCAACCTAGGAGGTGAATATTATTACTAACCTCATCTTACAGGGAGAGAAACAGAGATATACTGAGGTACAGTCACCCGTCCAAGTTCACAGAGCTGAGTGTTAGAGCTGAGGTCCAAAGCCAAGGCAGTTAGGCTCCCAACATTGAGATCTGAGGCACTTAACCATTGTGCTGTGCCATTTTCCACATAAATGACATGCATTTACCAGGCTCTGTTGCAAATAAACCCTTAGTGGCTCTCTCTTAGAATAGAATAATCATAGTCCTTGATTTATGAC